TGAGAGCACAAGTACAGAAATGCTCTCTGACGTTGTGGACTGTGTAATTTCATAAATACATAACCTGTTACCTCCTCCAAATAGAAACATAGTAATAACGTGCACTTGTAAAATGGTTTAAATCTTACAAAGTACTTTCACAATAGTGTCCCAAAGGCCCTTTTGGGACACCTGGTATTATCTAATTCAGTTAATCTTTGAAATGACCCAGTGAGGTAGCTAGGGTAAGTATGACAATTCCTTTCTTCACAGATGAGAAAACTGAGGGCCAGAGAGAGTTTAAATCCAAGGTCATATAGCTACTAAGTTAGAGAGCTAGGGCTTAGAACCTTTCTTTCTTTTTCAGTGTCCATTGTTTTTTTCATAACACCATGATGTTCTGCCTGACCATGTCATCTGTCCATGAGCATTTCTTGATTATATTGTGGTTTATCCATGGCACAATTTTATATTAGGGAGAAGGAAGCATAACACCGTACTGGACATGGAGTCAGGAATACCTGGGTTCAAAATCTCTGCTCTGACACATGCTGCTTTGTACCATGTGGCTGCCAGTTATTAGTAACTAATGCTGACAGTGTTTACATGTGTGTGTTTATATAGTTTATTATATATAATTTCTATGAAATTAATAAAGTAATATTTTATAATATAATACAATATACTATATGAAATTATCGATAATTTAGTAAATTATTAATTAACTAAGCTTATTTAATAAAATAATAAATATAATAAAGTATATGATGAAATAATTAATGACTAATAAATAATATAGTTTATTAACAACTATTAATTATTAATACTGATTTTTTGAAGCACTTTGCATAGAATCCTTTCTTTTGAGATTATCTTCAAATTTTCTGGTAAATATCTTGTTTACATGTTTGTCCCCCTTTATATTGTGAGCTTTCCTTTTGTTTCATTATTATATATTTATTATTACATTAATTTGTATTTATGAAATAAAACAAGCATTTCTGTAACATAGTACAATAAAAAAGATGATTGTACCTGAAACTTCAAATCTATTATATACAACTTGCTATTCCTTTCAAATATACAACAAAATTAGCATGTAGATTTTTTTCTACCATGCTCCCATCCTGCCCTAGAGATGGCTATTATTAGACACAAATATATATATACATATATATGTAAAATTATTCTATATATTCTGATATTTATCATTCTTTCTCTGAAAGCTTTCTTCATATGCCCTTTATAGTTCATTTGAGTATTTAAAAATAGTCAAAATAACTTATTCACTCAAAGTTGTTCTTAAAACAATATTGCTGTTAACTACGTTTTGCATTTAAATGACAAAAACTCTGTTTTAGGAATACCAGCTATTACCCTGAACCCTGTCCAGTAGTAAAAATAATGAATAGTTGACAATAGCTAATTAGAATTGTAAATGCTGAGAGGTCTGTAGAATAATTAAAGCTTTTGGGTCAGCCTAATGAAGATTTAGAAACAGTATTGCCTATCTCTAGATTTTGGTTTTCTTTAGGAGCCGGGAGAATAGTACTTTCACTTAGAATTTTCCAATACTTGTATTGTCACCTTTCTTTTATCATAGAATCTCAAGCACAGAATCTGAGGTTAGAAAGAGAATTCAGAGGCCAGTGGGGCCAACCTGAACCTTCTGCGAATGTTCCTTCAGGCTTTACTTGAACCTGTTTCCTCCCAAGGTAGCATATTCTACCTTCGTATGGCTCTAATTGTCACATCCACCTTATGTATCTTCCCTTTTGAAACTGTTTCTTCACCATGATCCCCCTTCAAGTACTTGAAGAGAGCTATCATATCCTTCCAAGTCTTCTCTTCTCCAAACTAAGTATCCCCAAACTTCCTCCAACCAATCCTGATAGTTCACAAACTCAAAGAAAGCCCTTCACTGTTCTGGTTGCCGTTGTGTGGATGCTCTTGAGAATATCATGTCCTTCCTAAAATGTGGTGCATAGAACTGAACACAATACTGTTTTATGGTCTAACTAGGACAGAGTATAGGGGGACTGTCACATCTAGTCCCAAAACAACAACAACAAGTATTACTACTACCATTATTACTATTATTACCTCTATGCACAAAGCATTTTAAGGCTTATAAAGTGCTTTGCATATGTTATTGATCCTCAAACAGTTGTGTGAGATAGAGCCTGGTATTACCCCCGTTTTACAGATTAGAAAGCTTTGATTAAATGACTTTCTCATGGTCACATCTAAGTAAGTTTCTGAGGCCAGATTTGTAGTCAGGTCTTCCATCTACACAATTCACTCTCTACCCACTGTGCCACCTGTCTGCTGATAGGTATCTTAATATGGTCTAATACTGTGTTAAGTGTTTTGGTTGCCATATCTCACTATTCACTCTTAATTCACAGTCCACTTAATGTCTTTTTCAGGCAGACTCCTATCTAGTGTGTGACATATCTCCTATCATGTATTTGTGAAGTTGATTTACATTTGTCCCCATTGAGTTTCATCTTATTAGGTTCAGCCCAATGTTCTAGGCTATTGAGATGCAGAATGGGGTGAGGTGGGGATTCTGTTTCTGTCATACAATATTATCCTCCTAGCTTTGGGTTGCCTGCAAATTTAATAAGCACCTTTATCCAAGTCATCGACAAAAATGTTTAAATAATGTAAGACCAGATATATATCCCTAGGGTATTCCACTAGAGATTTCCTTCAAGGTTGACATTAATGAGTTGCCCATTGGGTCCATACAGTCACTCAGGCACTAATCAGGATGACTCACCCTCAGAGGAGGAGTTTCTTGTTAGTGAAAAGAGAAACTAAATGAGAGTTGAATCATTTTGTCGTGTCTCCGTTGTCAGGAACCATTGTTCCATCTACCCAAAGCAGTTCTTTCTTTTTTATGTTTTTATGAAACGCAGTTTCTAAGAACTACATCCCTCCCCCCCTCTTTTTTTTTTGTTATCCTTAGCAGTCTTCACCTGTTCCAGCTCATTCTGAGCTTTAGCACAGATGCTCTTTGTACAGGAATGTGCCACACTTTTGTTTTCACCCTCTCTTTATTTGTACTTGTTTCCATCTTGTATACACGTCTTTTAAAAATCTAAGTTTGATAAAAATCCCTGTGCATCCATATTGGCCTCTTTAGACAACTCTATCTTGTCTTCCTTATTGGAGTTATTTTTCTTTGTGTCTACAAAAATTTTTTTTTCTGGAAAGATTCCTATATAATTTTGGCTGTCTTCTCCAGCATCATTTAAGTCATGAAATTCTATCTGTCCTTTCTCTGAAGCCTTTCAAATTTACTTTCCCCAAATATTAGTTAGTTTTCAGACTATTTCTGACTTTTATTTCCTTCATCACACACTATAAGAAAGAGTAGGCACATTTCCTCAAGATTTCTACTTTAAGATCATTTATATTTCACCAACCAGACCTTCGTTATTGGTGAGGCTCTTTTCTAAAATATCAGTGACCCGTGATAGTAATTGAGCACTCTAGCAGATCTAGAAAAACTCTCTCACTACTGTGCCTCCTAGGGAAGACTGGGATTTATGTTCTGAATTCCACCATTTCCTTCTAGTCCTATAGGGCATTCCTGTGACAAAACCATTTATGTTACTGAATCCATTGATCTTCATCCTAGTACCCTCCATCTTATATTTCCTCGTGTGTGTAGATCTTCTTAATATACAATGCTGTCATTCCCCTCCAAAATTGATCTCTTCCTTTTCTTCTCCTGTCCTCCCTTCCTCTCTTCCTTCCTTTCTTCCCTCTCCCTTCTTTTCTCTCTCCCTTCCTCTATCCATCCTTTCTTCCTTCCTTTCTTCCTCCCTCCTTCCCTCTCTTCCTTCCTTCCCTTATATGAGTCTTAAAAGACATTTGGTTCTTGAGACATGAGTCTATGAGACATTTTATTTTTTGGTTTGTCTTTATTTAAAGGGAAGTTTTTCCACAACATGGTGACCAAAGGAAGTTTGAACTAGCTACAGCTATTGTGAGAGTTAAGCTATATGATGTAAGGATTAACCATATAATCTCTCAATTTAGATTTGTTAACCAGGAACTAGACTTAAGTGCTCGAGGCATCACATAATTAGTAAAGTAAATTGCTGCATCCAGGAAGATTTACTAGTCACTTTAGTCTTGCTAGGTTGTTGACTAGACCTTTTTCCATAGAAAAATGCAGGATAAATTCATCTGTTCATCATTTTTTTAGTATCCTCAGCCATGAAATCATAATTCTAGGCATGTTAACATTCAGTAACTCATGACTGGGGCTCCAAAATGCCCCTGAGCAGTTTCTTAAATTGAGCAATTTCTTAAAGTATAGCAACAACGAGATTAAAAACACTCTTCCTTTTAGGGGTTCCTAAGAAACCAGTGATTCTTTGAGCTGATTTAGAACCTAACAGTACTTTAGCCAAGTACTTTTTTCACCTGAAAGCACTGAGAATTTATTTAAAAAAAAAAAAGAAAAGAAAAAGAAACAAAACCAAAAACAAATCTACAAGCTTTTTAAGTAAATATCCCTAAGTGATTAGAATACTGGGAAACTTCAGTTACATGTTAATGAGGGGTGGGGGCAGGGAAGAGGTACAGAGGGTACCCAAAAAACAACAAAATAATCACATTGTTTTTTTAAATTTCTTAATAGGAAAGAATAAAATGATTACTAATGCATCCAGGTGGGCAGATGGACTTGGTCTAGAGTGATTGGGCTTTGGATATATAGAGAACTTTTTAGGTAGAGATAGGCAATGCCCAGCATTTCTAGGTAGAACATCTACTGGGCACTAATGAATTGCTTTTTAGCTGACCTTTTAAGAAATGAGCCAGGCCTCTGCTAAGCCAAATATAAAATGAAAAACAAAACTGGTATTAGGGAATGCAAAAATCCAGTTTAATTGTTTGAAGGACGGTGTCTGTTTTTAAGTGATTAAACCAATAGGCACACCTATGCATGCCCGGTTTCTATGGCAAAGTTAGTGACCTCTCCTATCTATTATGGCATGTAGGTGAAAAGAATGGAAGAGAACCAGATGATGCCGAACTGGTGAGGCTGAGCAAAAGGCTGGTGGAGAATGCCGTCCTCAAGGCTGTGCAGCAATATTTAGAAGAAACACAAAACAAAATTAGGCAGGTGGATGGAAGCCCTGTGAAAACTGAAGAGCCCACGCAGTCAGACAGAAACGACAGTGATGATAATAGGAAATGAGAATTGACCGTCGCTTCCAAAAACGCCTATGAGACACCTCCCAGCTTTGATTTATGAGATTGCATCGACTGACTTGCCTTGTACTGGCTGTCAAAGTGTGTCTCATTGAGATGTGGCCCCTGTCCTAATACACTTTCCTAGAAGAGGTGTCTGCAATTCTTATAAACAAATAGAGTGCTGGGAATAAGGGGACATGAAGCTATGAAAAAAGAGAGACTTGAGTTCTGCCTACCCATATTTGCTAGAACGCCTTTGTGTTACGAAAGAGGTGGACAAGACTTTTGTCCATGCCATGTATGCTACATTTATTGCCGTGGAAGAGGCCTTGCCGTAAGTGGAAATAATGCCATCTGCCTTGCTAAACAGCAGGGTTTTTTGACTGCTTGTTCTGAGGCCAAAAATCGCAAATTCTGCCATTACAAAGCCAACTACTGCTAAGTTAATCATGGCCATTATAGAAGTGATCACCATCGGTACGACCGACCTGTATGTAATGTTTCTGACATATTTCTAATCATCTTGCCTTCCTGCCATTATTGTTATTTACAGTAAGAGAAACATGTAAATTCTATTTTTTCACATAATGTTACCTTTTTCTATAAGATATAGACTGTTTTAAAGGCTTTTAAAAATTCAGTTTTGATAAGTTAGTGTGCTGTATTTGTGTTTTTCGTTGACATTCATTAAATGCAAAAATATGTGATTTTTCCCCCCTATAGGCAAGAAACCTGTCATAATCATGGACTTAATTAAGGAAGCTTTGCTTGGAGAAAGGATGGGTATGTTGTCCAAAGTCAAACAGATAAAGGAACTTTTATCAAAACCTGAGATCCAGGCTCAAATCAAGAGAGAGTTATTTGACATAAGACCGAGCAGCAGTGATAATCAAGAAAAAACCTATTGACGTCCAGTTTTTTATTTAAATCTTTTCTAAAATGCTTCTAATAGTCCTCTCTTTCCTGAAATCTTTTCAGAATCTAATATACCTCTTTGGTAAACTTATCTCCCTTACTTTCCTCATATTATTCTGCTGCTGGAATAGATAAGATTGTAATTTGTGATCATGGTTGTACATAGAACTTGGGCTGGGTAAGCCTAGGAACGCCAACACACGTGCCAGCATACCTGACCCACACACTGTGCACTCCTGTGGTAGTGTTGCTTTGTGTAAGCATCTGAATAGGAATGATCCTATTTACTGATTGGCTTTTCCTACTCACTTGGGGAAATAACTTGATGGAATTTATAAAACCTTAGTTTCTCAAAATACAAGTCACTCATTTCATGCAGATCTATCCAAGCACTGTGTTCATTCTTTAATGCTGTTAAAAACAAACAAACAAACAAACAAACAAAAACCCAACAAACAAACTTCTTTTGGATTTGTTTTCGAAGTAGTTTCTGTAGCCAGGTTGTATGCTAATGAAACCAGAAATATAGATTTTAGGAAAGCAAAAGATTGATACTATCTAAAGAAAAGTGACAAGTTGGCTTATGGCATATCTAAATGACAACAAGCAAATATTTGGGTAAGAAATTAACCAGTGCGCATGGGCATTGGTGCTAGTTTATTATCTAGGGGTGCTGATGTTGAACCATCAAACTTTTCAACTAAACCAGTTTGTTTCTACCATCCATATTGGAATTCATTTCCCTGAGTCAAGTTTCTTAATTTTCAGTCACTGGGCTCTTAGCTGTTCAGATTGCCATCCCATCAAATCACTTGAGATCCATTTTAGCTCTAGACAGACAAATAACATATATATATATATATATATATATATATATATATATATATATACACACACACACACACATATATATATATATGTAAAGAAAAATGCAGTATTATAGGGAAAGCTTGCCATATTAACATGGCCTTAGTTTTTCAACATGTAAACCAAATGAAGTGTTTTTAGTGATCTGACTTTCCTATGCATCGTGTTCTTCTTTTTATTTGCCAATGTTTGTGCTTACCATGTATTGATACTTGAATACACGTTTTTAAATGTAATTATTGTAGCCAGTCCTTGAGAGATATTGCAAACTTAATACATATTCTTATTCCTCAGTAAATAATGAATTCTGTCTTTTTTATTTCTTAATAAAGATAGATTTTTATTTTCTGCTCTTTGAAGTCAGTTCCTGGTCTGTCTTTTATGACATGAAGCTCTTTGCACTAGTTCCTTGTTTTAAAAAGCATATGTGTATATTTGCCCAAGATGTTTCTAGTTGGTTCCCCAGTCTTTTACTCTGTAGTCACTGTAAAACATGTGCTTGCTGCTGAATGAAAATTGTGACAGAGGAAAAATGGTTCAGAGGTTATTCATGGAATCATTGCCTTCTGGGTCATATCTCATGGGTTCTAGCTATTTTTCAATGGATGAATTACAGTGCATTTGTTTATATAAATGATTTTAAGGCATTTTCATTCCTCCTAATAAAGATATCCTTTGTCCTTTATTGCTTTTTTATTTCCTGGTCCTTTTCCGCCCCCCGCCCCCCCCATCCATGTGCTGATTCAAGCTGAGCTCAAAATGTTTTCAGTAGTATTATTTAGGAATAAAATAGGATCCAGTTTCTTCCTGGAAAATAACAAGCTAACTCTCCCACATTGTTCTGTAGTATATAGGAAATGCTTTTCAAGACTAGTTTTTGTTCTCTTTTTTGGGATTTTGAAGAATGATTGAATAAACCAAGGGAGGGCTATCTTACAGTAAAGATCTTATTTCTTAACAGTTTCCTTTGAGATAATTTTTGTGTATCAGTGGAATTCAACAAAGGAACCATAAACAGGAGTTCTGACAGAGTGTCTTTCTTCATTTTCTTTTATGTGCCTCACCTTCATACTAAAATAGCACATTTGTCAAAGCACCTCAGTACTACTGTGATAAGTACTGCAGAAATACTTCTGCAGTTTAGATAGCTTTTTGAAAGCATTTCAGTGAGGTATTCCATAGAGGATTAACTGAAAAACACGGAATTAAATGAGAGACCTAGTTGCTTTCCTAAAAACTACTCATTCAAATATAAGAGCTTGCAAAAAGCTGGGCAGCAATGCTGATGACAGGCTGTGGAGTCCCCTAACACATTAAGAAGCAAAATAAGAGAGATGATTTAGTCATAGTAGAGGACCATATGATGGATGTGGTACAGCTTGAAGCTACAGCATCATTCATCTTCATGAATACTTAAAGAAAAGAATACATTTTCAGAAAATTTATGGATAAGCAAGCCTAATAGTAGAAATTACATTATTTCTACTACCATGAATTTAAAAAAAAAAAACAAAAAACAAAAAAAAACACCTCAAGACAAGAATGATTCAGAAAAGGGACAACCACTTTTCTACTAGTGAATCATAAGAAAGGAGCTACATGAAGAAAAGCAAGAAAGAAAGGTTAGTAAACAGACCCAGGGAACTGCAAGTCTTAGATGTATCTTTTCGCACATAACCATCTAAAACTAAGTTTACAAGACAGTGTTAAGACAGTGCACAATAACTACAACAAGCCGACAGTAAAAAAGCTTGGTTTGGGCTTTTAAAATAATCAGCTTCAATTTTACATGAGTCAGATTTGAGGAGTAGTTGCTCAGTTTTCACTAGACAGAGCCAGAGACTGGTGCCATCAACAAAAAAACAACTAGAATTCAAATATGTTCTTGTTTAGTCAATTAGTTGTGTCTGCCTTTTTGTGACCCCCTTTGGGGTTTTCTTGGCAAAGGTGTTGGAGTGCTTTGTCATTTCCTTCTCCAACTCATTTTACAGATGAGGAGCTGAGACAAACAGAGTTAAGTGACTTGCCCAGGGTCACAAAACTAGTAAGAATCTGAGGTCAAATTTGAACTTGGGTTCTCCTTACTCCAGGCCTGGACTAACCACTGCACCACTTAACTACTCATGTGAGAAATGAGGGGTAATGAGAGCTGACCTGGAGGTGAGGATGATAACCTGGGTTAAAATCCCTCCTCTGGCACATTTGGGTGAAGGAGGTAGTATGTGGAAATTTTATCTCCATTTGGCAGATGTCAGACACTGAAGCATTGAGAAGTTAAGAGTTTTGCCTAAGGGCCTGTAGGCTGAAGTAGATGGCTGAGTTAAGTGTTCTTTCCATAGTTTCAAGCTGCCACTGCATAAGGTTGAGAAGATTGGCCCCAACTATCTATGAGCTTCTATGTTTTTGCCTATTCCTCTCAATCCGTATCTATCATCTTCTATCTCTCTGATGAGTCAATAGTTTCAACTCTCCTGATGTAACATCTGTTTTCAAACTGAGGGGCAGCTAGGTGGCGCAGTGGATGGAGCAAAATGGAGCCGACTTGGAAACAGACATGAGTTCATAACTGGTCTCAGACACTTTTACTAGATGTGTGACTCTGGGCAAGTCACTTAACCCTGTTTGCCTCTGTTTCCTCATCTGTAAAATGAGTTGGAGAAGGAAATGGCAAACCACTCCAGTATTTTTGCCAAGAGCATCCTCCAAAAGGGGTCAGGATGAGTTATACTAAGGTTTGTTATCCTAGAAGCTAATTTCAACAAATTAGTGAAGCCAAACTAAGGAAACTTGTTTTAATTGTGTACCAAGTAATTATTCTTGCTGCCTTCTTCACCCTACCCCTCCTTGCTTATCATTCACTCTTTGTAGGAATAGGCTCAATACTCCCTTTAAATCCAAAACATCATGTTAAATAAAGCTGGTTTTTAAAAAATCTTCTCTCATGATGTTGAGTTTCAAAACACTTCCATAATTATTTGGGGAGAGTGGGCCAGAACTATGATGTCCTTGGGACAAAAGAGGGAACTTTTGGTGTGGAAATGCTCTTTAGGGAGTGTGAAAAATGATTCCTAGACTCAGAGCTCCACTCCCCCCCCACTCCACCCCCAGCCCCCTTTGGAAAAGTTCTTTAGAAGGATATTACTGATAATGAGATTGCATTGGAAGCTGGCCAGGTTTGGGTGAAGACAAATTCTTTGGCCTAGATAAGCCCTAGACTGGAGGTAGTCTGATAGAACAGGTATTTCCTCAGTCTGGAGGTAGAATGATGGTGGGATACTATCAGCCCCAGTTGAAAAGGTGTACCAGACCTCATTTTAATATAGCCCACCTCCCAGTGTGTTGACTAATCAGAGTTGATTGGCATCCCTTGGGAAAAACTACTCTTTGAAGGGCATATAACCCTGTACCGCCAAATCCCAAAATGAGCCAGTTCTTGACTGGCTCAGTTCTGGACTGTAACTCCCATGCAATGCATGTCAAGCCAGCTTGAGAGAAATAGAAACGTGGATGCAAGCCCTAATCCATTTGTCTCTTTCTTAGAACAAACTCTGTTTTAGGGAATGACAGGAGGAAACTATTTTGCAATTAAAGCCTTAAAATGTTGCCATGGGCATTGAGAGGTTTGATTTGCTCAAATTTCACAGCTATTGTGTGTTAGCACTTGAACTCAGATTTTCCAGATGCCCAAGATCAACTATCAATTCAATAAACATTTATTAAGTACCTACTATGCACTAGGCACTGTGCAAAGTTCTGGGGATAGAAAAAAAGGCAAAAGACCCTGCCCTCAAGGAATTTACAATCTAATGGGAGATACAACATGCAAACAAATTATACAAAGCAAGTTATAGACAGGATAAATAGAAGATAATTGACTGGAATTAAGAGGGATTGGGAGTGGCTTCTTGTAGAAGGTGACATTTTAGTTAGGAGGTCTGGAGTCAGAGCAGAGGAGAGAAAGTTTCAGGCATGGGAGACAGCCAGAGAAAATACCTGGAGCCAAGAGATGGAGTGTCTGGTTCATGGAACAGCCA